TATCACTCCACTCCCCTCCACGGACTCTCCTACCTCTCATCTCACTCTATTCCCCTCCACGCACTCACCTACATCTCCCCTCTCATCTCACTCTACTCCCCCCCACGCACTCTCCTGCCTCTCCCCTCTCATCTCACTCCCCTCCACACACTCTCCTACCTTTCCTGTCTCATCTCACTCTACTCCCCTCCACACACTCTCCTACCTCTCCCCTCTCATCTCACTCTACTCCCCTCCACTCTCCTACCTCTCCCCTCTCATCTCACTCTACTCCCCTCCATGCACTCTCCTACCGCTCCCCACTCATCTCACTCTACTCCCCCCCACGCACTCTCCTGCCTCTCCCCTCTCATCTCACTCCCCTCCACGCACTCTCCTACCTTTCCTGTCTCATCTCACTCTACTCCCCTCCACGCACTCTCCTACCACTCCCCTCTCATCTCACTCTACTCCCCTCCACGCACTCTCCTACCACTCCCCTCTCATCTCACTCTACTCCACTCCACGCACTCTCCTACCTCCTCTCATCTCACTCTACTCCCCTCCACACACTCTGTCTCTCCTTCAGCAACCAATGCGATGACCATGACGACACACGCGGCGTCGTCACGAGCTGACGGGACCGGACTGCTGGCATGTGAACGCACGTAACATCCCCGCAAGAATACAGAAGACTCGCAAATCCAGGAGTCGAGGACAGGGCCCCAGGGCAGCAAACAACGTCAAGCTGCCGACAACAACCGAGTGTGTGAGTGTGTGTGAGTGTGTGAGTGAGTGTGTGAGTGTGTGAGTGAGTGTGTGAGTGTGGTGAGTGTGAGTGTGTGAGTGCGCGTGTGTGAGTGCGCATGTGAGTGCACGTGTGTGAGTGTGTGAGTGTGGGTGAGTTAGTGAGTGTGTCAGTGTGTGAGTGAGTGAGTGTGTGAGTGAGTGTGTGAGTGTGTGTGAGTGTGGGTGAGTTAGTGAGTGTGTGAGTGAGTGTGTGAGTAAGTGTGTGAGTGAGTGGGTGAGTGAGTGTGTGAGTGAGTGTGTGAGTGTGTGAGTGCGCGTGTGTGAATGTGGTGAGTGTGTGAGTGAGTGTGTGAGTGTGGTTGAGTGTGAGTGTGTGAGTGCGCGTGTGTGAGTGCGCGTGTGTGAGTGCGCATGTGTGAGTGCACGTGTGTGAGTGCGCGTGTATGCATGAGGAGGTTTACCGCAGCCTTCGCTCAGAAGTTCGGAGAGCCGTAAGGCGCTGTAAGGATGGGTGGTGGTCGCGAGTTGCTGAGGAGATGGAGTCTGCCTCAGTGGCCCGTGATCACAAATCACTATTTAACTCCATCAAAAAAGTAACCTGCAGCGCCACACCTATTACCATCATTAGAGGAAAAAACGGTGATCCAATCTCCGACCCACAGGAACAGGTTTGCAGATTTGCTGAGCATTTCTGTGAGGTCCTGGGGGAGGGAAATTCTCTCAGCCAGGAAAACATCATGGCACAAAGTGGTGATAACCCTGCTGAGGCTGCGGTGCCTCAAATATTGGAAGAGGTCACCCCCTGTGAGTGGCTGGCTGAGGTGCCAGCTGTTGAGGAAGTACTGAGGGCGATCCGGAGTCTGAGACCAGGGAAGGCATCGGGCAGAGATGATCTCCCAAGCGAAATGCTGAGGGAGGGTGGCGTTTGTGCACAGACTGCCCTATATGACATCATAACAACAGTCTGGACCACTGGACGGGTTCCGCAGGACTGGAAGGATGCCCTGGTGGTTCCCCTCTTTAAGAAGGGGGACCGTACCGACTGTAACAACTACAGGGGCATCTCACTCCTCAGTGTGCCGGGTAAGGTCCTGGCAAGGATTATTCAACATCGCCTTGCTAGGCACGCTGAGGAGAGGCTTGCGGAGCCCCAATGCGGTTTCAGGAAAGGGCGGTCCTGCACAGATGCCATATTTTCTGTCCGTCTGCTACAGCAGAGGTGTAGGGAATTCCAAAAAGACCTACATCTCTGCTTTATTGACCTGGTCAAGGCCTATGATACCATCAGTAGGCCTGGGCTCTGGGTTGTTCTTCGTGCTTTCGGAGTCCCTGACCCTCTGCTCACGATCATTAAGGACCTTCATGATGGTGAGCGGGCCCGGGTAAAACTACGTGGCCGGGAGTCGGAGCCTTTCCCTGTACACCTTGGGGTGCGACAGGGATGTCCTCTGGCTCCCACATTATTTAACATCTATTTTGACCGCGTAGTTCGTGAAGCCTTCAATAGCTGTACCGGGGGAATTTCCATTTGGTACAGATATAATGGGAGGCTGATCGACGCCCGGGTGCGATCAAGGGATGGCTCCCTATTGGTCAACCACGTTATGTATGCCGATGATTTGGTAATAGCTGCTCACTCAGAGGAGGAGTTGGAGACGCTGCTGCTGAGACTGGAGCGTGCCACTAAGAGGTGGGGCCTTACCATCAGCCCCACCAAAACTAAGCACCTGCCTGGGTATTTTGTACCATCGGACACTCCACCCCCACAACT